CACGCAGTGGTCTTAGCAAACACCCCAACCCGGGCTGACTTACTAGGGTCTTCTGTGAACGACTCAATCACATCATCTGAAAAAATAAACAGAACAGGTTTTCTGGACATCCCACCCTTGTGCTTCCTGTCCGTGAAAGTGCCTGGCATAACACCCAGAACTATAGAGACCCCCGTGGCTGCTTTTCTTTGCCAGCCTATAATAATTTAAATGGGCTTTTAGTGTGCTGAATCCTTTTGGCCTCTTCAGCCTTTCCTTCAAACTTGGCATTCACTTCAAATCTCTGGATAGAATGGCTTGTTCACAAATAAATAAACAAGTAAACAAAATGAAGTAAAATTTAAAAGTAAGTTAAACTATTAAACAAAAGTATCTCTAAATGACCAAATAATTGATGACCTCTTGGCCTTTTTTTTTTTTTTTTTTTTTTTTTGAGGCAGAGCCTCAGGTAGTCCAGGCTGGTGTGCAACTCATTATGTAGCTGAGAATGACCTTTAACTCCTAGGCCTCGCATCTCTGACTCCTAAATGCTGAGACAATAAGCATGAGTTCATATACCCCACTGTGAGGTTGGGGGGTCAAACCCAGGGCTTTACAAACTTGGTGACCACACTATCAACGAGCTACATCTCCAGCCCTGAGGTGTCTATGTGAAGCAAAAATATTAATGGCATGACTATCTCTTTATTTTGAGACATGGTCTTGCTTGGTATCCCAGCAAGTCCTACTGTCTTAGACTCTCCAATGCTGGGATTACAGGTGTGATTTCACTTAGGCTCGGCTGACATTGTAATTTGTGTGTGTGTGTATGTATGTACTCTATACTGGGGAGTAGTCCAGAGCCTTACTTACACATGCTAAGCATAGCTTCTAATGTGCTAATGTGTCTGACTCAAAAAGTGTTTGGGTTTTTTGTTTGTTTGTTTGTTTGTTTTTTGAGACAGGGTTTCTCTGTGTAGCTTTGGAGCCTATCCTGGCACTCGCTCTGAAAACCAGGCGGGCCTGGAATTCACAGAGACCCGCCTGCCTCTGCCTCTGCCTCTTGAGTGCTTGGATTAAAGGCATGCCCCACCAACGCCCGGCTGGTTTTTTTTTTTTTTGTTTGTTTGTTTTGTTTTCTGTTTTTTCGAGACAGGGTTTCTCTGTGGCTGTCCTGAAGCTCACTCTGGAGATCAGGCTGGCCTTTGACTCACAGAGATTCACTTGTCTCTGCTTCCAGAGTGTTAGAATTAAAGGTGTGCACCACTACCACCCGGCAAAAAGAATATATTTTTATTATACGTTTAAGGCGTATGACGTGATGTTTTGATACACACACATAAAGTGAAGTAATTATGGCAGCCAAGTAGCCACATTAATATACTTACCTCCTCACATAGTCACCTTTTGTGTGTGTGGAGGGGGTAATAATATTTAAACACTATGTTCAGCAAATAGTCCGTCCACCTTTGACTGTGGTCTATAGCCAAAACCCACCCTTTCCCACTAGAGGGCAGCAAATCCATATGGTTTGCCTTGGGGTTTTAGGGTTTTTGTTGTTTGGTTGGTTTTTGTTTTTTTGGGTGGGCAGGGTTGGCTCATTTTCTCAAGTTTTACATTGTAAATCAGATTTGAACCTCTAAGAACAGCTCTCCCCAGCCCCAAGTTTATTAACAGTTTCTTTAGGGAATGTTTATCAAGCCAGGCATGGTGACATACAAGGATTACATACGTAGTAAAAACCTGCCACCCTGAATCCTGTCACCCTGACCCAGGAGTGGTAACACACAGTTTTAATCCTAGCACTCGGAAGGCAAAGGCAGGCAGATCTCTGTGATTTTGAGACCAGCCTGGTCTACACGTCGAGTTCTAGAACAGCCAAGGCTGTTACATAGTGAAGTCCTGTCTCAAAAAAAAAAAAAAAAAAAAAAAAAAAAAAAAAAAAAAAAAAAGTGAGCAAGCAAACAAAAACCAAACCAAAACCAACCAAACAAAAATCACCAACAAAACCCTGTCTCCTATCTTCTAGATTTTTTTTTTTGTCTGTTTTTTAAAGTCAGGGTCTCAGTATGTAGCTCTAGGTATCTTGGAACTCAATAGATCAGGCAGGATGGCCTTGAACTCATAGAGATCCTCCTGGACATTGGACTGGTATCAAAGGTGCATGCCCCCAAGCCTGGCCTCAGAATGTTTTTGAAAGGTAAAAGGTTACAAAACTCCTAAAAAGTAAATCCACGATAAAAATAGCCATGCTGTTCCATTCAGACCCCATCTTAAAAGCAGAGTCATTTTCACATGTAATGTTTGCTATGACAAAGCTCCCTGAAACCTTCGCTCATTCCATGGTTCTCCTTGGGAGGCATCTCTGGACCCTGAGAGTAAGACATTCTGCATCTTCACCAAGCCCTTGTTGTATGGCTCGTGCCTATAATCTCAGCACTTGGGTGGTGGAGGCAGAAAGATCCAAAGTTCAAAGTCAGCTCACAGAAGACATTGTGGAAAGGAAAAAGAGGAGCTGGGTGTGGTGGAGCACATCTTTGATCTCAGCACTCGGGAAGAAAAGGCAGGTGAGGAAAAGCCCGTCTCAAAGTAAACAAACAAAAAGAAAAAAAAAAGAGAGAGAGGAAGAAAAAAAGGGAAGGAAGGCAGGCAGGCAAACTTGAATTTTCCTTTGTAGTTTAGGGGCTCACATTGCTTATTTCCCATTTGATGTCCAATGCAGTGACTTTTCAAAAGAATTATGAGCTAGAGAGACAGCTCAGCAGATTAGAGAACTTGTTGCTCTTGCAGAGGACCTGGGTTCAGTTCCCAACACACATATTTTTTTTTTCTGACCCTTGTGGGTCCAAGTCACAGACTTGGTGCATGAACACACATGTAGGCAAAACATTCATACACATAAAACTAACAAATCTAAAAGTATTTAGGGAGGAAGGGCTTGCTTTATTCTATTTTAAATTACCTTATTTGTATGAGCATTTTGCTTGTGTATGTGACTGCCGGCCACAGTGTGCCCCATGCCCAAGAGGCCAGAAGAAAGCTCTGGAATTCATGCATCCAAGGCTGGCCTTGAAATCCCCAGTTATCTCTCAGAGGCTGACCACCACGGTCAGCTCAGAACACGTTTCTTTGCTTGGTTTGGTTTTGGTTTTTCAAGATAGGATTTCTCTATGTAACAGAGCCCTGGCTGTCCCAGAATTCACCCCAGGCTGGCCTCAAACTCACAGAGTTCTACTTGCCTCTGCCTCCAGAGTGCTGGGGTTAAAGGTCTGTGCCACCACCACCCAGCACAATTTTTAATAAAATAATGTTCCATTTCTTGAGGATATTTGAAAAACTACGGACTGAGATCACTGAAGGGGCAGTAGGGCTTCCTCAGGGTGGAGGGATGTAGATCCCTCCCTATCCAGCCTCAAGAGGCTGGCCCACATTCCAGCCTTGCCACACACAGAAAGGCAGTGAGGTCACAGTGGAGCAGTTGGGAGTGGAGGGCGGCTGGCTGTGGGACTGCAGGGCAGATTCCCCAGTGTCTGGATCCATCTCAGTTGGAAGAACTCTGTATGAGCCACCACCATCTAAATACTTCTTTTAGGGCTGGAAAGTCACTGAAATGAAATCTCGGGACAGTGAAACCAGAATGTCTGCTGGGAAGTCAATCATGTCGCAGCTTGGAGGAACCAGCTCAGGGGCAGTTTGGCTTTTACTACGCTATAACCTGTAAATTCAGACTCTCCTATTTGGGTATAATAGAAAAAGAAAGGGAAAGGAGTCTTAGTCCTTCTTTTTCTTGTCTTCTTAAACAAGGTCTCACTATATAGTCCTGGTCCTACCTTGGAACTTGCTATATAGACCAGGCTAGCCTGCAACTAAGAAATCTGCCCCTCTGCCTCCTGAGTGCTGGGATTAGAGGCATGTGCCACTATGTTCAGCTTTAGTTGTTATTACTGTTATTATTATTATCATTTTGTATTTACAACTGACTTTTTGGTTTTTTTTTTTTTTTTTGAGACAGTGTTTCACTGTGAGTAGACCTGGCTTTCCTGTAAGTAACTCTGTAGACCAGGCTGACCTAGAACACACAGAAATCCACCTGCCTCTGCCTCACAAGTGCTGGGACTACAGGGGTGCACCACCACCACCAACTGGCTGACAACTGGCATTTTTTAAATGAATTAAGATAAATACATCAGCCGGGCGTTGGTGGCACACGCCTTTAATCCCAGTACTCGGGAGGCAGAGGTAGGCAGATCTCTGTGAGTTCGAGGCCATCCCGGTCTCCAGAGTGAGTCCCAGGATAGGCTCCAAAGCTACAGAGAAACCCTGTCTCGAAAAAAAAAATAAATAAAAAGATAAATACATCAGAATGCATTGTGCTTTGCAAGTGTAAAGAATTATTTTATATTTTTGTTTGTTTTACATGTCCCTAATATATATTTATTGTTCTAGATACTGGTGCAGAAGATTAAAATATAGAAATAAGATGGTTGTGATGGTGCATACCTTTAATCCCAGCACCATGGGAGAGAAGCAGGCAGATTAATAAATTCAAGGCCAGCCTGGTCTATAGAGTTCCAGGCCTGCTGAGGCTACACAGTGAGACCACATCTCAAAAGAAAAGAAGAGGAGAGGAGAGAAAGGAAAGGAAAGGAAAGGGGATTTGGATGGGGCTGGAAATATAGCTCAATGGGTAGAGTCCTTGCCTAGGACACATAAAGCACTGGATTCAATTCTTAGCACCACATTCACCAAGTTTATTGAGGTGTGTGTGTGTGTGTGTGTGTGTGTAGAAAAAGTCAGAGATGACTTCCTATCATGGCTTTGCATTGTAGTTTTCTGCTGTTCATGTACATAGGACAGTGCTTTCTGTGGGCTGAGTGTGCAGGCCAGTGGTTAGTATTATCTTAGCAGTTGTGTGACCCTGGTTTTAATCGCATCACAAAGAGTAACAAAGGAATAATGCAGAATTCCCTGTACAGTGAGGAAAGAAAAAGGTGTAGGGATGTGACCCTCTTGTAAGGCACTTGTCAAATATATAAAGACCTGGGTTCAGGTTTCAAGATTACAGATAATTGTCAAGCATGGTACTTTGCAGTGTAGCCCTGTCCTAGGACAGATTCTGGCCTGAGAGTCTCATTATGTATCCCTGGCTGGCCTTAAACTCAATCTGCTTGCCTCCTCTCCCTGAGTGCTGGCATTACAGCATATGCCACCTTGCCTGGCCCTAGAACAGAGCCTCAACTCACATTGTTCTACGTCACCCTGACAAGGACCCCATTGAACCCATAAGAAAAACTCCACCTACCTCCTCGTTGACCACTGACCCCTAGGGGAAGCCAGCCTGTCACAAAGAAAGAAAAGGGGCTGTGAGTGACTCAAGCTCTCTCCATCATAATGCTTTTATGAGATGAACCAGGATACAATGGAAAAATTGTGTATTATCTTTGTGATCTGTCCCTATATATTTCAAAACAAACCACTAGGCTGTGCACAAAACTAATCAAGCATAAAAAACAAAACAAACAAACAACAACAAAATCACCACTCCAGAAAGACAAGCCCTAGAAAACAAAGCCCACTGTTGTTCTGCCCTGACTCTGTTTCCTCTCGTGTCCTCAGTCCCAACCAGAGAGGGCCATGGTCCACAGAGGAACCCAGCAGCCTTTTGAGGGTGTCTTCCCCCGGCCCACAACTTCTGTGTCACTGCACCATTGGGCAAGGCAGAAGAACTGCTTTGTCTGTCTGGATCTGGCAGGAAGAAACACTATTTGTAGTAGTGTTTCTTCCAAGTCCAAGGTCGCTGTCTGTGGCCAATCCTTGAGCTAGTTCTATGGCACACATGAAGATGACTTTGCTTTTGTGTGTAGGTGTAGCAGTACTTCCCTCACGTATGTGAATATACTTGTGTGTCTGCCCAAGCAAGTGTTAAGTGTTAATGTGCATGTTTCTGCCGATTTCCCTCAAGGCTTTTAAGGTGGCCCAATTTCCTAACAAGTGGTCTCTGTGTGTTTGTGTAACTTCTTGCTCCTTTGGTGTTTGTTGAATGACATATCTATATGCAACTCTCTTTTAGTGATTAATCACCACTTGCATGCTAATCTCACATCAGTTTCTTGGGTACCCCATTTCTAAGGTCACCTCTCCTCACATTCTGCACTTTTGTCTTTGATACAGCATACTTCTTCCTAGGCCCAG